TTAAAAAAAAAGAAGAAAAAACAGAAATCAAGATTAGAGTGTGGCCCTTACTATCTAAGTAAATCGTGCCAATTTCTGGAGGATTTAAAAACAGAAATGTGAAGCTTAAAATATTTGTAAAAGCACTTTTAATTGTTAATTCTTCTGTTAAAACCTGTGTATTATTTGAGCTGTAAATTTGTTCTCTTAAATTTTATGGTTGTTTTAGGGTTTAGGCATTACATTGTTATGGTAACGAACTACAATTGGATATTACTACACAGAAAAGGTTAGTAAACAATGTTTCCCACTAAAATAATGTTAACATGCTTGAGACTATACGAAACAGTGAGTATTAGTATTGATGAGTATTTTAATGTTATGGATCCGCCCTATTCCATTTGTAAATGCCTCACAGTAACCCTGATTTTTTTTTAAGAAAAGGAGGAAAAGTTGAAATTAATTTGTATTAATCAATTTTTCTTTCTGTTTCTAACCTTTCTTTCAGTGTTGCCAAGTCCGCAGTTTTCTTGCAAAATTGGGCAACTTTTATACTGTTGCCACGTTTTTTTTGTTTTTGTTTTTTTCCGGGTTGAAGTGAAGCCCCTCAGAAAGTGATTTTAATAGTCAATTTCTCCCACAACCCAATTGGTCTAGTTTTGAGTACAATTTGGGGTGGTTTTGTTATGCAGACCTGGCAACCCTGCTTTCTTTACATATCAATGTAACATTTGAAATTACATATCAAAGTAATCAATGTAATGCCAAAAGTGCTATTGATTGAGCTTAAGTTTAGAGGAACTTACAATATTCTGTAAATACTATGATACAAATGTTCGCTAGTGGAGGTGCCGCAATCATCTACTTCAGAAATAATGCAAACCCAGCTAAAAAAAAAAGGGCATTTAGTCAAAACCTGGAGTTAAATTACATCTTGTGGAATTCTTTGTTCCATCTCATAAATGAAGAATCAGTGCTTCTTTAGCTGAAGAGCTTATGCTTATTCTCCAGCCCATCTTTCCCCTTTCTTTCTCTGATTCTCCCTCTGGGCGTAATTTTTTGTGTGTGTGTGACCTCATGAGATTCTGATTTCTGTGCTATTATGTTCAAAGTGTAGCTAGAGGGGATGTCCGTAAATGGGAGAGGATACAGTCTATGTATCAAGTGACATAATTCTTCAAACACTGCCTTCACCAGGGACTGGAAGAATGGGATGGAGCTATTGTGTTATGTATGCATTGTATTCTTTGCGTATTTGTGAGCAAGGGTGTGTGTGTATGCGAGCACAAAAGTGTGTTTCCCACAAAGACAGAGAGAAGAGTGTGTGCATGACTAGGAAAAGAGACAGGAAGAGAGGCAAGGAAAGGGCTTTCATTGTGTTTGTTGATTTTCAGCTCCACTGTGTCTACTTATAATACAGCAGTTCAATGAAAAAAGCATATAGGGAGAAAAAGAGAGAGCGGGGAGGGAGGAAAGAAAGATACAAAAGAGAAAAGAGTGGGCTGAGGGAGGGGAGAAGATATTGCTTAAACAAAGAACTGGAAGAGAGATATTGATCTCAATTTTCAAAACAAAGACGTTTGTTTGGTTCTCACAGTCAGCAGTATGTCATGTACTAATAAGAATCCTCTCTGAGGCCTACTTTATCACTCAGATCAGGGCTATTCTTCCTTTATCCCTGCTAAAAACCCATCCTAAAACCAGCCTATATGCTGGTCCCAGTTGGTTTGAGCTGGTCTTATTTCAGTTCATCTGCAAGTAGACCAGCATGAAAGTGCATAATACCCAAAAACTAGCAAAAGAACAGTGATTCCAGATACAAGAACAATATTTGGTTCCCCAAAGAACTTTTCAGTGAGCAGTTCTTAAAAAGCAGTTCTTTTTTCCCCATAAGTGTGAAGAACATTTTAAAAAGTCTAAACTTTCCCACTATAAAGAACATTTTGTAAAATTGAAAGGTTCCATGGATGTTCAAGGTTCTTTGTGGAACCATAAATGGTTATAACACACATATAAACACGTATTTTTAAGAGTGTATTTTGCTTTTTGTCCAGAGATGACTTTAAACATTTTCTTGAAAAAAAAAGTGCATGATATAATTATTATTCATTGCTTGTTTAGTGGTGTTGCCTCATTCTCAGACTTACCGTTTCTGTTCTGATTGGTGACTTGGCCCTCTCGCTGTCTGGAGATGATCCTCCTGCACTGGATTTTGGATCATTAACCTTGATCATTCTGCTCATGTACGCGTCAGCAAGACTGGTGGTCCGCAAGGTGCGATGGTCTTCAAATCCCTCCATTTTGGTGTGTTTCTTACTTTTCCCAGGGATCAGAATTTCCCATATCTTCCCGTCTTTTAGTGAGCCGGTGCTGGAGTGGTTCCGTCCCAGCTCGATAGCCGAATTTTTACGATTTCTTCCGTGAAGAAGCGAACCCACACCACCTCCACCACTGCCACCGTTTTCCGCTCCAGCATTTTTACGCAGACTCCCCTTCGAACCAGTACCGACAGTCAGAACCGGTTTGGGACGGGACTGAGTTCCCGATTCCGAAGCAGAACGGATGCGGTCGGATCCAGTCTTCAAACTAGTTGGGAAATCTTTAAACCACTTCGCCATGGTGAATACGCACAGGTGTCCGCGCCTCTCTCCATACACACGCTCAACTCCTTTAGGAATAATCGGCTTCTACAATATCACTGACTATGGCCCTTTAATTGATTTTTGCCTAAATTAACAACACTTTAACGCGCCGTTCAGGTTCAGGCTGTTCAGTGCAAGGTTGTTTGTTTTGCTTTAAAAAAAAATAGATTTTTTTTTTATTTTATTTATTTATTTAGGCTAATTTGTAAAATTTGTAAAATTGATTTAGGGAAAGGTTCCGAATATTAAAATTCATTTTAGGCTATGTAATCTTGTTTACAGAATTTATCCCATTCGTATTTCTTTTCAGGAAACTTCTTACACTCACAACTATACTACGATTCTTCACATTGGAATATAATGTCTTGTTTTTGTTTGCTCCCAATTATTCCCGCAAGATAAAGAGGAGTCTCTGAAGGGCATAAACGCGGAAAAATTTAAAGTTTTTCTTAGCTCTCGCTGAAGATCCCATTCCCGGTATATCCACTGCAAGCGACAGTCTAAATGAAGTGAAGTGGATGTACATGTACGTGCGTTTGTGCTGCAGCTGTGGGTGGGGGTGGATTATGTGCCTCTGCAGGCAGCTACTCTTCCCCTAAATGGGAACTTTTCATTTGCTGGGCGCTACCCACCTGTAGATGCAAACCTACTTAATATTGCCTACTCAGTAACTACATTTTAAGTTTTTATCAAATGTTTACATTTACTCGACACACTCTTTACTCCAGTGAGTAGGCTATTTTACTCCAGTCAGTGAAGGTCAATTTCTGGTAAAGGCAAATAAATAAATAAATTGACATTTCCATCGTTGTACTCCAGGCTAATCCAGTAAAGGTCAATTTCTGGTTAAGCAAGTAAATAAATAAATATACAACTATAATAAACAACTATTTGACTTTTCCACCGTTGTTGGCCACGAAATAAAGATAATTGAACACATGTTGCCCTAATAGCGGGACATGTGGTCACATGGATTAAGTTGTCATCTGTAAATAATAGGTCTATAGACTTTTTTAGCTTAATTTAAACAGTAAATTTGAAATAAAATGTTAAAAAATAATAATGAAAAAGCAACAAAAACAATAATAAAATAAAATGTAACAAATATTTAAATATGATCTTGTTCTTAATTGATAATTTGATAATTGATAATTAATTAAAAAAAACTATAAACATCTAAATGCTGAAAAATTAGGCCTATTGTGCAAGACACTACCACAGAGGGGCAGCAGTTTACACCGGGTAACTGGCCCAAGTTAGGCCCTACTTGTAAGGGCAGACACATGGGCAATTTAAAGTTATTTACACTGCCTCCATCTAGTGGCTTATTAAAAATAACATCCATAATTCATTGATTAGACGTAAACATTAATTATTTAATTATGCTTTCATTTAATTAATTAGACACAATACACTTGTCTGCTTGAAAACTAGATAGGCTTTTTTTTTTTTTTTGCAAAGTTTTAAAATTGATCTATTCGGCACCGACTTTACTTACTTTACCTAGGCTACCTACTGTATATGGTTATACACATATTTCTATTTTTTGCATTGTTTTGAAAAGATAAATGACTCAAAATACTGGAAGTTGAATGGGCCTACTTGATACTCTGCCCACACGTGACTACTGGTGGTTACCACGGTGAAGAGTAACAGTATTTTCAAGAAGCTCATCGTGGAACGTCTTGTAAAATGTATTGTAAAGCATCTGAACCTGTTTTTCCAGTTATTGAAAAAGATCAAAGGACAATGAAATCCAGATGCAACTGAATTACAAGACAGTAGGCTACACACGGTACATTTACACTCATCGGCGGACCAACTAACTAGTATAACCAGTTGCACTCAGATTCTGCACTATTTTTGATTGTAGGCTACTTTATATGATGCGCATTTCTCCATTCTGATTTTAATGCATTTTATTTACAAAACCATCTATTTTTATGATACATCCAAACCCTGTTTTGCACCGGAATTTCTCATCGATATATCACATTTTATCGTATCTATATAGTCTATCTACAAGACCACGTCAGTATAAATAACATTCACAACTCTATTTGGATACAGGGCCTATCGAATTGCGCAACAAGCAGTTAGCCTACATGAGCGTGCACGTAGAAGTTTAAGCCCACTGTATCAATTTAGTGACAAAACTAAACTTTCCCGTCTTTAAATCATATAATTATATTTACATTTCACTGTTCCACAGACAAACTAGTTCCAGATTTAATTGTGATTGACACACAAGCTCACCAATAACGAAACAGAAATGGTTTCACGCGTTCCACCCACGACGCCACTATCAGCCAATGAGATTATCCTCACGCGCAAAGTGGGCAGGGCATGTGGTATCGGTCTGAAAGGTAACAGGTTGTCTTTAGCAAATGTTTTCCCTTGGGTTTATTAGTAAGAGCTGTCACATTTAAAGAGGCCTTCTTTACTTTTACGCTATTAGTTCTCATGTAGGAGAACCACAGGAGGAAACAGAGGAACATTCAGCAGAGTGAAATATAAACTTTGCCTTAACATCAGGTACGTTAAATGTTATTTTTGTCTCGCTAAACCTGTTAGCCTGTGACTAGAAATTGATTCTAAGTTGTTTGTCGAGCAGATGCTCCAACTCATTCTCGAGCTCTACTTTCTTCCACTGGGAGTGACACTTGTTTCGCTCGCATACTGAGGTATAGCCTAGTAGTATTTTGTGTTTTTCTTATGTGGTCTTCTCTTCTCTGAAGATGGATTAAAGTCTGCCCAAAGGATTATTGTCTAGCCCGCGTAATGACAGTATTTTTCATTAGTTTTCGCTGAAAATGAGCGCTTCGCCCCGAGAGACTTCGTAACCCATTGAGTTTCGCACATAGCGCAGGTGCATCGCCAGGTGAACACCTGCGCTTCTCGCTTTGGGGGAAAAAAAAAACTCATGAAAGAAAAGCTTGACGTGGCAAACAATCCCGCTTTAACAGTGTTGTGATTGTTTACCTCCTCGCCACAGCCCCGAAAGTCCGCTAAACATTTAAAGTCTGGTTTGAATAGCTCAATTTTCATTCAAATGAAGAACGAGTTTGTGTCAAACATGCCGTGAGCGATCAGGTTACTGTGTCAGGTAGGCTGTCAAACGTGTGTTTATGTTTAAAGGGGCTATTAAATGAAACAACAACCAACTTTTAAGTAAATTAAAGTGTTATATTTGATAGCCTACATAGCTCGTTTGGTAGCTAGCTCCTTGGTCATGTTATCCAGACGTCAGGATCTTTAGAGATTTGAAACCGGCGACTCAGTGCAGAAGAATTTTATTGGCCTGGGTTTAACAGTGGCACTTAAACTCTACAATATTACTCATTCTCAGTCATTCAAATAATTGCTTCACGACCTGTTTTTGTTTTATCTACCCCCACAGCTCCATTGGTAAGGCTCAATATGAAATGTGTTATTTTTATCTAATGTTGGATATAATTCAGTATAATCATTGATATTATTAAAGTGGTCATTATTACAGTGATGTAAGGTTAAGATGAAACGAGTATTCATTTTCTCTTTGTTATTTAGGCTATCTTATGGACACTTTTCACAGACTGTGACAAGTTTCCACTATTATTAACTTTTGAAAATCTAGCAAAGGTTTTTTATATTTTCATAAAAAAAAAGTGTAATGTACATTTATAGCACTATGTTTTGTGTTCACTTACCTTGGCATTAAATTACACAAAGAAATTAATTTAAAACAATACAAACTAGTCAACGCAGCCGCATGAATGTTTCTAATACAGTAGCTGAGGGCAAATTTGACATCTTTCTCACATTTGATCAACGTAATAAATTTCTGAGATTTTTTTCCTCTTTTTGAAAGTATTGGAAATGCTAAAGTGGATTTTTTTCTTTTGCTATTTGAGCAAATGGGAATGAAAAAAATAAATTGTTATAGTTTCTGTTCACCACTGTAAAAATTTACCCAACTATGACAACTTCCGCTTCCGAGAACCTTGAAAATGTAAGAAGTATCTATTTTGAAGAGTACATTTTTGTACTCTAAAACTTTCTGAAATGACAGTTTTCTCTGTAGTGACATACTGGACTGCTCCAATCATTATAATGATTGGCAAAAAATGCAAAAAAAAGAATTTCTTTTCACCACTGTAAAAGTTTACCCAACTATGACAACTTCCACTTCTGAGAACCTTGAAAATGTAAGAAGTGTCTATTAAAGGGATAGTTCACCCAAAAATGAAAATTCTGTCATTAATTACTCACCCTCATGTCGTTCCAAACCCGTAAGACCTCTGTTCATCTTCGGAACACAAATTAAGATATTTTTGATGCATCCCGTGAGCTCTCTGACCCTCCCATATATAGACAGCAAGTGTCCTTACACGATCAAGGTCCAGAAACGTAGCAAGGAGATCGGTAAAATAATCCATGTGACATCAGGTGTTCAACCATAATTTTATGAAGCTACAAGAAAACTTTTTGTGCGCAAAAGAAAAAAAATTACTTTATTCAACAATTTGCATCAAAAATATCTTAATTTGTTTTCCGAAGATGAACAGAGGTCTTACGGGTTTGGAACAACATGAGGGTGAGTAATTAATGACAGAATTGTCATTTTTGGGTGAACTATCCCTTTAAGAGTACATTTGTGTTTTCATCATCTTTCTTTCTTTCTTTCTTTTTTTTTTTGATGTCATATTTTTAGTGAATTTCATCTCTAAAACTTTGTGAAATGACAGATTTCTCTCTAGAGACATATACTGGACTTATCCTATCATTGTAATGATTTTAAACCTCACCCACTCTAACTAAAATCGACTGCCAGCTCGAATTCAGATCTGCCTCCATCCAATCAGCTGATGAATTGAACCAAGCCTGCCCTACTTTTTTTTTTTTTTCCTTTTCAATATTCCGTTTCACTCAAATGCACGTCACATACAGATGAAAAGATCTGTCACTACTTTCATTGCCATTTCATTGCAACCATGAAAAACAGTTCTGTGGGTGAAAAATTTCCCTAATGATACACATGAGCTTTTGATTTTAACAATTCTGGTTAGAATTATGGAGTAATTTTATTTTTATTTATTTGTTTTTTACTCCTATTTTTTATATAATTTTGGTGAAATTATTTATATATATATATATATATATATATATATCTTTCTAGTAATATGTATGCCGGACTCCAGTCATTTAATTCGCTTAAACCCTGGTACTTTAAATGGAAAAACAATCAGTTCCGTGGGTGAAAAACCTACTCACCATAAGTAGCTTCCCCCTAATGACACACATGAGCTTTTTATTTTCATATGTTTTAATGATTCTGGCTGCAAATATGGAGGAATTTCCCAGAGAAATACCTAATAGCCCATTTATTAATATGAAATCCAATAAAGTAGTAATTTATGTTTTATAGGTTTTAAGCAAAATCTTTCCAACTACCCCCTTGAACCCACTAAAGTCTCTTTAGTACTCTTTAGAATCTTTGGAATTAATTAAAAGTTTACTTTTCATTTGAACCATTGTTTGCGCATATTAGATCATAAAACCGAAATGTATTGTTCTTGCATCTCCCATATCACACTGGCATCTTGGTTATTGACCTATGCCTACTTTGTGCTGAGCCATAGACAAACATAATTTATTACATGTATATGAGATGTTAATCCTCTAGTGTGATTCACAGCTGTGAGTCATATCTTGCTTCAGTTTTTCCAAGCTGAAGTTTTTTCAGTTTTTCCAACACATCACATGCGGGTATTAGATAAGATTTCTTCGTATTATTGTGTGGGTTTCTGGAAGTACGATTTGTGTTTGGCAACAATGAAGCCTGTTTTAGTCATGCTGGTGAGATCCATTAGACACACAGAAGAAGAAATTCTTGTTTGTCTATGATTGAAACAAGAAGAGCGACTGAAGTTCAGGAAGGGAGGGGGGCAAGAAAGGAAAGAGAAGATTGAGAGGGAGTTTGGCAGGAGACAAAGAATGTAAAGGGGAGTCCAACACTAATGGAGGGATACCGAGAAAGCTTAAGATAGGCTACATTTTCTCAGATGCTTTCTCACAGCAACTTGAGTGCTTAATTTGTAGATTAATCTAGATGAACTCTACATCTCACCTCTGTCAGGTAAATCACCCCAGAGCGAATATCAGTGATTGGTTTACCCTTCTTAAATTAATGGAAACTATCAGAGATTCAGGTTGTGTTTCCCATCAGACTGCATGTCATACTTGTAATATACACCGCCGGTTGATTTCATAAGTGTTACTGAAGTATGCTGAGAGGTTGTTGTTGAAAACCTAAAGGACTCTGGGAATGCTAAGCATGCTTGTTCTCTACCTCCCGTGTTAAGTGAATTCTGACCTGAAAAAAGTTGACTGAAGTCATATTTTATATTGATATGAAGTCTGATGCAATGCATGTCTGAGCAAAATTAAACACGCTCTGATGCACTGATTGTAGTCGCATTGATTTGGTTTGTAATAGTCAGCGGAGACAATACAAACTATACTGACTGCACAGACGTCTCCTGAATCCTAGTGCCTCAGTTTCCTGCTAATTCTATTAATGTTCCACATCTGAGAGCTCGGCAGTCCCGATTCAATTTAAGATCGGAGAATTCAGTTTGATGGGAGAACAGGAGGTTGCAGACTCTGAGCTGTGGACAGGTGTCCCTGGAGGGTTTGGTCTGGTGTGAGGAGGTTTAGTTTTTTTTTTTAGAAACATAGTTTTTTTTCTTTAGAAACGTGGTTCATTAAGACTTGCTAATTGGACTGTTTGTTGTTGCATTATCTCCCTGAGCAGGTGAAATGAGACGTGGAAAGTACAGTATGTGTCTGTCCTAATGTGTAAGTGTATAATATTCTGTTATTTTGACAATTTCAATGAATGGGCTACATTTTGGCTGTGAATGTGTACAAGTAAGACGGTCGAGCATAGTCTAGATTTGAGTTATATCTAACTATACTATAACTTTTTTGGACTGTGATAAATACTTGCGAATTAGTTGGAGACAGACACTTTTGGTTTGGTAAGTTATCATCACATTATTAGGGCTCAATAATGGTCTGTTCACATCAGGAAAGATAACTATAATTTTAGCATCTACACCAATGGGTGATATAGTTCTGTTTATTATAAGCCTGCACCGCAGTTATGTTGTCTACCACCTTAAATGCTCAAGCTGTTCAAAGTCACGTGGATTCTGATTGGCTGTCAATGTTTTTATAGTTCATCAGCTGGAAGAAAAATTTTCTGAATGTGATTCCATCGATATTGTTCCTGTGTGTGGACTATTCTCAGAAATTATAAAGATTACTAAAACTTTATAATTAATGATACTATGTGTAGATACTGGTGCTAGTACACAAAAAAAGTTGTTGTGCGTATAAACTGTTTTATGTGGATAATTTGGAACACAAGTGAAGTGCAAAGCTTAAATAATAGGCAAGCAACCAAATGTTACATTGCAAATATGAAACCATTTGTATTCACCCTTCACCCTTAACCTTTCTGTCTATCTCTACTTCTGTCCATCAGAGTGAAAGTAGGACACAAGTCCTGTACGGCTTCTTTTTTTTAATACAGAATCTGCTAATCTCCTGTTATTTTACACTGTTGGTAATTCAGTGGTGCAGATATGCTGTATATTAGCCTATGCATGGATAAAGAAAATAAAGGATTGTGGGGTAAATGTTCTTATTAGCATATTTATGAATTTATTATAATAAATTCAAATTTTGCAACTGTACACAATCCATGAATGTATAATGAGACAGGCATTGCTTGTTTTATGATTGGTTCTCAGTTGCTAAACAACTCGCTGTGACCTTCTTGCACACCATTGTTTCACATTGTATACCTTTTGTCATTGCTTTTCAGAAGTTTTTCTAACTCGGGAGTTAAATTTACTAGGAAATAGGAGAGAATGGATAGAATGAGATGCGATAGGTTCAGTGAGGATAATACTTTATTCATCTCTTGGGGGGGGGGGTTAGGCATTGCATTGCAGCAGACATAAAATATAGAATAGGGCAAAATAATTAAATAAATTAAAATACAAAAATACAGTGAGAGGAAAGAAATGAGAAACATTGCTTCATTCAAAGTTATTAACTGGGGTTAAATCTAATGTTAAAAGCATTTAAGATGGGCAGAAGTCATCATAAAATCATCATAAGAGAAAATTATATAGCAGATAACAGTGCTTTATTTTGAAGAGAGAAAAAGCAGTGGGTTGATTCATATTGTTTTGCCCTTAAAGCACAAATACTTGCTCCTAGAGTGGTTGAAATCAAGTGTGTTTGTTTGGGATAAGTAAACCCCTGCATACCACAGGCTATTGCCTATGAAGAGAACAGTGACATCTCTGATTTGGATCAGTGTATGTGAGCAGGAGAGAGCGAGTGTGATAGAGAAGCCAGTGTTCTCAGCATAGCTGCTCTTGTTTTCTGCCCCACTTCACTGTAATAATGGGAAGAGGGTCCTCATCCCACTCACGGGCTCCCTCCATTCAGCCTATCAGATAATGCAGTGCTGAGAGGCTAAATGGTGCCTCTGTTTGTCTGGCCACTGACACACTGACACAGAGGAAATGGATCGCCATAGACCGTGACTGAATTTTGGCTGTTTGTTTGACCAGATCACTGTTATTATAGAATAAATAATCTGACAGTCATCATGTGGAAAATCAAAAGTGAGGAGAGTTAAAGGGGTCATATGATGCTTTTTTAAAGATCTTTCCACATAGTGGGGTAGATATGTGGGGGCGTGTTAGAATGAGCCGTTTTAGGGGGGCGTGGCAGAGTCTTAACTTTGATAAAGAATATCTCTTTGGTTTTGATAAGTCAGTCTTTGCAACTTCAGGGATCTTATCTATGCACAATAAGCTTGTAACACTCCAAAGAGAAAGGAAAACTTGAAATCGCATCATATGACCCCTTTAAAGGGATAGTTCACCCAAAAATGAGAATTCTGTCATTAATTACTCACCCTCATGTTGTTCCGGACCCGTAAGACCTTTGTTCATCTTCAGAATGCAAATTAACATTTGTGTGAGTGAATCCGAGCTAAAAAAAAAAAAGAAAGCACAATTGATTTGTTGATTGCCAGATTTTATTCCTGATTTGAAATATGTCACTGGAATGTTACCTTGACCAACAGTTCAGGAGATTTTGGTCTTTGCCTCTTTGAGTAGATTGGAGCATAACTGGAAATAACTGCCTAGACCTGGCTTCCCTTAAAGGAACTTTGATCAAAGTGCCAGCATTACTGTTTGGTTCAAAATGCAATATCTTTAAATTATGGTGAAAAATTAAAGAGACTATGAGATTTGTTGCCGTATTACAACTGGCTTCTGCACAAATTGTCTACAGCATTTGTCTAGGCCCTCAGGATAAATGTTCATCATATTCAACATAACGATGCCCCCCTGCTATCAATAAAGAAGCATGTCCAGCTTTATAGTTCTTTTATGATGTCCAAAGTCTGTTGTCTAGGACCAAAACTCCACCTGTCTGGAATTTAATCGTGGTCACTGTAAAAGTACATAAATACTGCTGCAGCTACAATAAACACAGATGAAGAATGATTCTGAGAGGTGAAAATGATCAGTGAAGTGCTGCTTCTGCTTTCTCACTACACCTGTATAGCCATCCACCTGTCTGTCCGTCTTTCTTCAGTCTTCTTTCAGTCATTGACATGGACACGTCAGCCGTCTCAGACAGCTTTCTGGTGACAAAACACATAATGGGCCCATTCATTGTATTCACATTGCAGTACTAGTCATGAAGGCTCCTTTATATGTCACACAGTAAATATGTTTCTTAACACTGTCTTACTCATCTCAGGCTGAATGTTTGTTTTAACCAGACATTTGGTCACTTTAACAAAATCTGTAGGTTTATTGTGAACAGGAGTTGCTCAGTGCTCTTCCCATGATTCAGTCATGGGAGCGATCGTTCCCGTCTGGTTTATCATGCATTTTATTACACTGGATTCTTCATCACTTGTGTAATAGAAGCAGTACTGATTAGACTGAATGTGTTTGTAGTTGCAGAGCTGTTTTTTACTGAAGAGGACGACTAATGTGAGAGTGACAGACAGAAAGAGAAACAGTAAAGATGTACCAATATCTGAGAATGCACTTTGTTCCTCTGTCACACCCTTCATGCTTTAATCTGTTCCTTATTGAGATACTTTCATTCCATCACACCAGACACACCTTCATTTTTCTACTCCATTACATCACGAGTAATGCTGGAGCTTTCCTGGGTTTTGTTGAGAAATTTTCTTAATGAAAAGGTGATGTTTAGGATGGAAAGTCAATGGAATCCATGAAAAACAATGTGAAAAACAAACGTGTGTGTGTTCAGGTTAATGAATAATGAAGGCCGTTGGGTCTTCTGTGCCAGGAGTCAGAGTAGTGGAGTAGTGTGTGTAATTCAATCCTGCCTCGTTCGACTGTCTGCGTGTCTGTGTCTGTCTGTATCTCAATAGAGCACAACAGTAGGGTTCTGCTTGTAAAAATCCCATTCAAATACTCCTTTAGAGAGTAACGTAGGCTAGACACATTTCAACACAGACCAGCATTGTCTACAAGAATGTTGAAGTCAATATGAAATCGAACCCATTTACTTTATTAATAATGCGTGTTCCTGATCTTATCATGAAGGATTCATAAGTGTACATTATAACAAAGAAATAAATGTGTCTTTATAATCTTTTATTAATATGTAATAACTTGCTCCACCTCTAAAATGGCTATTCCTGCTCGTGGCTTCATTCTGGAGTGTAACACCTGAATTTTAATCAGTCAGATTATGACAAATTATATTAATGTTTAAAAAAAAATTATTTTAGTTCAGTAAAAAGTCATTTGTATACAAACCAAAAATATTTCTAGCATTTAAGCGCAATTATTTAGGCCAGAAGGATTTAAAATAGGGATGCACAATATTATCGGACTGATATCGGAATCGGCAGATAATGGCTTTAAATGTAAATATCGGCATCGGCCCGATACGAAAAATGATGCAGATATGTCTTGCAGATAAGAGGAATATGTTACTCACATGTGCTCAGGGTGTGCTAGCGATTAGATCAAGTCAGCAGTGGCTCATTCTTGAAGCAAAGTTTTTGTCTGAATGATGACTAGATTCACTGGTTTGGATTGCTGCATTTAATCTGTGAAAGCACGTACAGAATGACTGGTTCGGTGTATGATAGAGTAAACAGTAATAGCACATACAGTGGCAGCAGCAGCGGCAGCCTCCCCCAGGTCCTAATGCCCATTCGGTAAGTAGTTTTAATTCCGTAGGGGGCGCTGTTGGCCTACTTCTAATTAAATTAAAAGTAAAATAGCCTGCACAAATAACATTTAGACTGTGTTTCTGATTTAAAAAGCAGTAATTGATGTCATAAAATGAGTATGTTTTGATTTAAAGGTCAGAAGCTAGCCTATTGCTTACATGAAAAAAAAATCACAAACATGACACTTGTAAATGGAATAATTTTATATATAATGATTTATTCATTAATGTGTAATATGTTTTATTTTTTAAACAAATCATAAGCTCTAAAATATTTTCAGAATTTTTACAACTCTTTTTGCTTTTATTTATAGTTATTTTCAAAGCTTCAATGTACTGTCAAAAAACCTTTATTATTGTTTATTTAATTCTAGCAAATAAGTTCTTGTTAAAAACTAACCAAAATTAAAAATATTTTTCTTATAATTTCTGCACAGGAGAGACTTGGTGTTGTTTCCAAACAAAAGGAAATATATCGGTATCAGTATCGGCCAAAACAAGTTGAAAAATATCGGAATATCGGATATCGGCAGAAATCCAATATCGTGCATCCCTAATTTAAGATCATAAAAACTCAATAAATAAAAGCTTGTTTAATTGTCAAATAAGTCAAGTAGGACACTGCCCCCAAATCTGGCACAATATCTAGCAATAACAAAAGGGAATTCACAATTGTGTCTTGTTGAAGTAAAGTGCTTTTTTGGAGAAGAGGAGAGCAGTGTCCGTAGAGGGGGAAGTGACTACAGATCAGGTTGTGCAGTGGAGTGTAATCTGAAGGACATCATATTGCTTCTGTTAGGGCCAGTATGAAGGAAAGGACATTCAGGGCTGTGACAGAAAAAAAAATACTTTTTCATTTCTTTGTGCTGTTGTGATTCACCTCTGAGCTGGTTGCTTTGGTTGAAGGGTTGAAGCTTTTTATTGAAGAATTTTCTGAAACTGAAGGAGAAAAAATAGTTCTGGAACCCATAAGGAGTATTTGATCTGTTTGAGGTCACTAGATGCTTTGAGCTGTTGAAAAAAAAAATATATATTATGACATATTCTTTGTTTGTCTCTCTTTATCTCCCCTCTAGGATGTCTGCTCCTGTCTCAGGTAGGAAGACCCCCGTGGACTATGGCGTACAGATTCGCTTTATAAATGACCTGCAGGACACCGGAGGGGGAGTGAGTGGGCAGCCTCGGAAAGAGCCGTCAAAAAAGCCTCCGAAAAAGCCACCGTCTCGCTATGGAGTGGCAGTGAGGGTGCAGGGCATTGGTGGGCAGCCCTATGTTGTACTGAAAGAGGGAGAAAAAGGAGATTCATATGGAGTACAGCTGAGATCCCAACCACCTGCTTACAGCAGCCTGCCTAGGTATGCTCCAAATCATTTTTTTAAAGAAAAATATATATATTTTTTTGTAGTGCTCTTAAACAATTAATCACGATTAATCACATCCAAAATAAAAGTTTTGGTTACATAATATATGTGTGTGTACTGTGTGTATTTATTATGTATATATAAATACAGACACATGCATGTATATATTTAAGAAAAATATGCTACATTTATATATTAAATATATTTATATATGATATAATTTACAGTCATGGCCAAAAATATCGGCACCCTTGGTAAATATGATCAAAGAAGGCTGTGAAAATTAATCTGCATTGTTAATCCTTTTGATCTTTTATTCCAGAATCTCTCCAGACCCTTCAGATTCCCAGCTCCATGTTGGTGCTTCTTCTCTTCAGTTCACCCCACTAATTTTCTATATAAATAATATACCTATTTTTGTGTTGTTTTTGAGGTTTGTGTTTGAATTATTGTACGGTTGGAAGATCCAAACATGGTCTATAAGATTTCTAACAGAGTCAGTCACTTATTGATTTTTTTATCTGTTTAAATATTTTCAAAATATATGCTGTATGTGTGTGTCTTTATATATACATAATAAATATACACAGTACACACATATATTATGTAAACAAAAACTTTTATTTTGGATGCGATTAATCGCGATTAATCATTTGACAGCACTATTTTTTTGATTATCTTAAAACCACCTTATCTAAATATCTGTGCTTTAAATAAATTTATATGAGTATATATGAGTATCTTTACTAAAATTCTTTTAGAATAATTTTCTTCATGAATTTAAGGCACTTAATAAATAGTATTATTAAGCAAATTAATTTAGTGCCTTAATGGGTTAATAGTAAAAAATATGTAATCATTTACTCACCTTCATGTCGTTCCAAACCTATATGCATTTCTTTCTACTGAAAACAAAAAAAATATATCTTGAAGAATGTTGGGAACCAAAATTGTTTAGTTAGCAACATTCTCCTTCTAGAAAATATCTTCTTTTGTGTTCCACAGAAGAAAGTAAGTCATATCATTTTAAAACAGTGGTGTCAAACAGGGGTGTCTTGTAAAGACATATGTAGGCAAAATAATTTTTTTAGCATTTAAGCACAGTCATTTAGATCTAAAGTTTAGAAATTAGCGATTGGTTGCAAAAAAGTAACTAATTAATTACACATTTTTCTGTAATTAATTGTGATTTGATTGCATATTAATATATTTATATTGTCATAATTTCACATTGAATTTCCAAATTAATGTAGAAATAATAAAAGTATCGTATATTTTTTTTAATATGTGTTTAATGGCATCTTTTTACCAAGTAGCCTGTTATTAATGAACGCCAGTATAATTAATACCAATATTGCTACCGATGTCTCTATTAAATGCATTTTCCTCACTTTTTGCCATTAATTATAGCCATTCAACATTTACAGTATAACTGAAAGCCATTCATTTTAACATTTAAAAATAGTGAAAAATAGTGAACTTAAAATCTTCATAAACTATAAATTGTATATGCAAAAACTATAAATTGAGTATAGATTAATCTTTATTTAAGATAGAAAAGAATGTTTAATCTGTATCTTTGATTTTTGTAATTCTCTAATTGTGTCTGTTTGTTTGTTAGGAGGAGAGAGGATGGGGTAATCCAGGGGCCGTATTTCTCGTCTGGAGGGAACACCCCCCTGCGTCGGGCTCAATCTCATGGCTCCCTGTTGGATAGAGAAGACGGCAGCGAAGACTTCACAGATCAACTCCGACGTCCGCTTGGAGATGGACGCTCCGGTAGCTACGGAAACCTGGATGGAGGTATTGGTATGGGAGCAGACAGGGAGCTGCCCAGAGAAAGGATGGAGAGAAATCAGTGGGGTGGATCCTACCAGACAGGGCTGAATGGCACTTTAGGAAGAGGGAGAGCTGGAGGCAGTCATCACACCTCATCAGAATCAGTCGAAATATCTCCATACAACCAGCACACTCACAGCCAATCAGCTCCCAACTCCATCCGTCAGACGCCTGCCCACAGACTGCACAGCTCTGCAGCACAGGCGGGTAACACTGGGACCAACACCAAGGGGCGCTATCCCATCCCAAAAGCAGACAACAGACCCACCTCAACCTCACCGTTACCCGCTCCATCTCTCATCCTAAACACATACTCTTCACCGCAGTCTTCCTCACCTGCTTCTGCCTACAGCAGCCTGGGCCGTGGCTCAAGTTCTGTCGCCAAGGTCACGGCTGTCTCTTCATCTGCTTCAGTTGATGGACATGTGAGTGATGGGTTAAATAAAGAGGTTTGCAGTATTAAAAGTATGCACTACTCTTAGTGTTTAACATTAATTTAGAAATGAATAGCAAGTACTGAACCTGTGGGGAACAAATCATTTCTCTTCTTTTTGACCTCCATACCATGTATTCTTTACAGTCTCTTAAATGCAGGTTTGTTTTCATAGAAATATTGTCTAGGGCAATTTTCTCAGTTTCTAGATAGTTTTGCATTCACATAAAATGTCCTTAGCTTTGCCTCATCTGTCCTATGTTCACTGGCTTTGTTTACATGCAACCAGATAAACATTAGAAGAAAGATTGATTGATTGAACACCACAATCTATCATCATCTAATCAATCTTGGTCTTATGAATGTTTATTTTTGTCTTTCGTCTTTCAAACTGGTCAGTGGCGTAAACTGAATATTTACTAAATATTTGCTAAAAAAGCTTTTCTGATAGACATGTCAGCTTTCTTTTGAGTTGTGTTATTAAGGCAAAAACTACCATCATGCTTGTGGTAGCTCCGGTAACGTTATGTTTTTGGTGACTTTCTCAGCTCTTGAATGCGGCAACTGGGCACTATGTGCTTAAGTTTTGTTCTGAATACCTGTAGTGTACATGTAAATGAACATGCGAATCAGATTGCAAAGTTGATAACTTTCAGAATCTGAAATCGGATTGGAATTATTCCAACTGATGAAAATTAGTGCATGCAAACATCCCTTCTGAGGCTTTGTTTTAAAATCTAGTGAACTGCTTTTTGCTTTACATACAGTAGGCCGCTGTCTTAAAAGGCAGCATCCTAAATTATGCTGAACATCATTACTGTCTTATTTAGACTGCGTTCCTCTGATGAACATGTTGAGGCTCAACTCCCAGTTGATTCCAATAGATTATGGTGTTAGCAAATCAACATTATGTTTCTCTAAGAATAAAACTATATATAACAAATGTTGTGTAAAATAGTATTTTTTTTAAATGAATTAAAACGTTTTTTTAGGTAAATATAAAACACATTTAAATGATTAAATTATGTAATACATGTAAATATTTTCAAAATATATACAATATGTGTGTGTCTTTATATATACATAATAAATATACATAGTACACACAGATATATTATGTAAATAAAAACCGTTATTTTGGATGCGATTAATCACGATTAATCATTTGACCGTATTAATTTAAATGCTTTTTCAATTTATTTCTTTTTGAAAGAAATATATTTTTAAGTGACACTTCTCAACTTATTCTCATTTACTTGGGATTGCATTCTTTTCTTTGTGAAGGATACATGCCAAAAAAGGGATCTGCTCTTTGTAGGGATGTAACGATTAACTGCGAGCCGGTTGAAAATCGATTCAAATATGTGACGATTCAAATCGGTTGAGATGCCAAACAAATCGCGATTCATTTAGGTGTAGGAGTTTATATGAATGTATGTCTGAAAAAGGACACATTTAATTTATAATTTGTCTTAAATCTCATTTTGTTAAAAAAAATTATAATAATCGTGAATCGAATCGAATCGTGAAATCAAAATCGTGAATAGAATCGAATCGTGACTTGAGTGAATCGTTACATCCCTAGTTGGAACACCCTTTGCATTTGTACCATTTTGAACCTTTGCATTTGCATGTGCACCTCTGATGCTTTAAAGGGATAGTTTACCCAAAAATGAAAATTCTGTCATTAATTACTTAACCCTCATGTCGTTCCAAACCCGTAAGACATTCGTTCATCTTCGGAACACAAATTAAGATATTTTTGATGAAATCCGAAAGCTTTCTGACCCTGCATAGAAACCAATGCAACCGACATGTTCAAGGCCCAGAAGGGTTGTAAGGACATCGTTAAAATAGTCCATGTGACATCAGTTGTTCAATCTTAATTTGCAGCTTGTTTGCAAGCAGAGGAATGCATAAGCATGCACCGTGTTACTGCCATAAACGTGTGTCGAAGTCTGACACATAAGAGCAGAAATTGTTGAATAAAGTCATTATTTTTGTTTTCTTTCGCACAAAAACTATATTCGTAGCTGCATTAAATTACAGTTGAACCACTGATGTCACATGGACTATTTTAACAATGTCCTTACTACCTTTCTGGTCCTTGAACATGGTAGTTGCATTGCTGTCTAAATGCATCCCTTCAAAATGCTGTCAGAGTTTTGAAAGAGTGTAATTTGAGTAGGTTACAGAAAAGCTATTCATCAACCTGATACTCTATTCTCTCTGGCATTGAATGTCATTTAGCTTGATTTAGCTTGTTGGTGTCAGCTGACAGAGTGCACACTTATGTTACTTCTCAGATGTATCAATTGTAGCCCACTCTTCAGACTGTATAAGAAATGTTACTTTGTTGTTTTGAACATATTCTATATGGGTTGTGTTTGATGCTTAAAAAACTGTTATCTCCATTTAGGTAACTCCTGACCTTTTGATGGACCAGGGTCAAAGTTCAGGGTCAGAGTTCTCAACTGAAGATCAGATACAGCAGATAATCTACGATGTTCTACGTCAGGGGTAAACCATTGTTCTGATGCGTAACAGCAATATATAGAGCAACAGTTAGTAACATTTTGTTTCTCCTAATTCTTCAGGAGTACAGAGGGAGTTGCTGTCATTAAGCACAGAGTTCGAGTCATCTGTAATAAAATTCAAGGACTGAAGGTACAGTCTGTCACATTTCGAAGCATTGCTATTTCTTCATTTTAATTTTCGAACATAAAACAAATATCAACACCTGATCATGTAACAAAAAATGAAAGACTTCCACCAGAATGACACAACCAGTTCAGCTTTTCAGATTAACTGAAGCACAGTCGGTGACCGTACAAACAAAAATGGCACAATGTTCTGTTCAGGCTTTGATATTAAATGATTAATATTATGAAAGGTGTTTCAGGTGTACTAAATCAGAGACTGTTATTGTGTAATGTCCTGCCCTTCAGTTATAAGAGCCAGTAGATGTTTTTAATAGAGATATTGCTTGTTTGTTTACTTTAAATGCACTTTTAGTGTGCATTGAACTAAAGAATCAAAATATATGATAGAATTGCTTATTTCATTGGTGATTTGAGCTGTTATTAAGGCATAATCTTGACAGACAGTTTAGAATATTGCCATCATTCCTCATTCAAGTACATAAAAGATGTACTTGTATTATCTGCTTAGAAAATTGCTGCCTGGGGTGTTACCAAGATAGCCACAGAGTGATCTGACTTTGACTAAACCCAGCTGCAAATAAATCTGCCATTTTTAAAAAGCTGTTATAAACAAGTGTCCGCAGTGTGAGATGATTTACTCTAGTGATAAAATCACCCGGTCTAGCTGTGGAGGTAGGCTCGGTTGGCACTGTATTTAGTGCGCAGACAGGCATTGCTAAAATGGGCATTACATTTGATGGCTTTTTAGGTTTTGGCATCTCTTGCTAAGCTATAATGAATTGGCAGCGGATCCCACCTCACTTACAACAGCTGAGCCCATTTTAGAGTGGAAGGAGGAATGAATGTTTACCTCCCCCACACAAAAGCTCATTAATTATACAATACAAAAAAGATCCAGCATAGATCAATCTAAAGTAATAAAACTATATCAAATTATAAATGCTAATAAGTGACCATCAGAAATTCAAAATGTAAACAGACACTGAAAAAAAATCCTGTAATGCCTTATATGTGACCCTGGACCACAAAATTTCTTGAAATAGAGATTTATACATCATCTGAAAACTGAATAAGCTTCCCATTGATCTATGGTTTGTTAGGATAGGGCAATGTTTGGCCGAGATACAACTATTTGAAAATCAGGAATCTAAAGTTGCAAAAAAATCTAAATATTGAGAAAATCGCCTTTAAAGTTGTCCAAATGAAGTCCTTAGCAATGCATATTACTAATCAAAAATTAAGTTTTAATATTTAAGTTAGGAACTTTACAAAATATCTGTATAAATCTCAGTTTCGAGAAATTGACCCTTATGACTGGTTTTGTGGTCCAGGGTCACGTATTAGGTTTTTGACATTGATAATAATGATAAGAAATTATTTTTTGAGCACCAAATCAGCATGTTCAAATGATTTCTGAAGAAATATGTAAAACTGAAGTCTGTAGAAATGACTGATGAAAACAGGAATAAGGAATAAATACATTTTAAAATATATTAAAATAGAAAACAGTTATTTTAAAATGTGATAGTATTTCAAAATATTACAGTTTTAACTGTTTTTTAACCAAATAAATGCAGCTTTGGTGAGCATAAGAGACTTCTTTCAAAAACATTAAAAACGTACTAACCACAAACGCTTGAACAGTAGTGTGTGTATGTGTAGTATTATTCTAATCATTCTTTGTCTTCAATGCTGAGCTTTTGAGAATAATTTAAAACTCTCATATGTGCTTCCTTGTTTGCTTTATAGGCAAGGACTGTATTGTTTCTTTCTGAGAGCAATTACTTAGTATAGTGATCTTTAGACAGGATTAAATCCTCAAACCTATTACTATATGTCTCAGCAGGGGTAGCAAACCACTAATTACTACTCTGTCTTCTAAATACTATCATAGAGGTGGACTTGGATTATAGTGTTTTGAGCTAATTGGAGCATAATCTGGTAATGCCTTGTTTACCTGAAAAGCTGTTTGACGCACAGTTATATACAGCACAGCTCTTCTCATACATTTACCGCAATATGTTTTTATTTAGTACTGTCCTAATGAAGTTATAATTTGTATTGTATTGTTTGTTTTAGTTTTTTTTATATTTTATTTTAACTATCATTTAAAAGCAATCATTCAGCAATCAAAGTAATAATTGTAAGGTTATAATTTAGTACTGTCAATATAATTTACACAAACTTTCCTGTTAAAAAAAAATTACATACTTCTGGTTCAAGCCCCAAGCGTGCCCACTGCCCTGCATATTTGAGTTCTTCCCCACAGTGACTATCACAAATGACTGCAAGTAGTTGATGCTTGGGGCAACAAATGATAAAATGTTAAACACAAATACAACTAAATAAGATTATGACCTTTAATTTTTAAATATTCTTACACTTACGAGAAAAGGGGTATGTACAGTATACTTAAGAGCATGAATGAATGAATGATGCATTTATATAGTGCTTTATTGTGTATTGTTGTACATCCAAAGCACTTAACAATCATGTGCACTTGGATGATGCGACTGCAGCCACAGGACAAGTCTTGGGCTGCAGGGTGATATGGCTGTGGCCATAGATTGAGCATAGGTGTATAACCGTTGCCCCTCGGATTTCAGGTGAACAGATCTGATGACTCCTTGAAGGAGGAGCTTGAGAAATGTCTGGATGAAAATGTACAGCTGCAGGAACATCTGGGACGGAAGAATACAGAGCTGCACCAAACACATTCAGAGTAAGACAAACACAAATACCTTTGTCACTATTGTGTGTTTATCAACATGAACATTCACACATCTGTGGTGAGAACGATATAAAATCTGCAAAATAATGTATAGTTAAACTAGGTTTTATCTGTTTGCTTATCTCTCTCTCAGGCTAACTCAGTTACGAATGGACAGAGAGAATGCAGAATCTCATGTTAGAGAGATGGAGGATCAGCTGGCAGGACTACAGGAGGAGCTGAGGAGAGAGACAGACAACAAAGCTCAGGCTGACACTATGCACATGGTGATCACACACAGACACACACACACACACTCTCTAGACTGAGATTAAAAAGGTCACAAATGCAACAAATAAAGGATTTGTAATGACAAATCAACACCTTAGTTGAAAGTGTTTTTAAACCTGTGAAAACCCTTAAAATATTTCATTCACACTTACTGCACTGCACACATTAGGCTGCAGACAAAAACTGCAAATTACTAGTAGTAAAATGATATTGCTGTGCTGGTATTGAGATTATTAAAAAGAATTATGATTTGGTTGTGTACAGGAGTTGATGGCAGTGAGAGGTGAGTTGGCCGAAGCTGCAGCGCTGTGTCAGAAGCAGGAGGATATTCTGAGGCAGAGAGAGAGGGAGCTGACTGCTCTAAAGGGGGCATTAAAGGATGAGGTCTCCACACATGACAAGGAGATAGAGGCTCTCAGAGAGCAGTACAGCCAAGACATGGAGAGACTACGAGCAAGCATGGAGCAGGTTTCACAGGTACACGCCCAATGTTGGACAGTAAATTAAATGGGACCCAAGACAGAACCCTGTTGAACACCTGTTATCATGCAATTTAGAAAGAAGTGTTTAATCTCGCAGCACTTTGCATAGGAATTATGTTGCACATATGCACAACGTGATTATCTCTCTGTGCCTCAGTCTCAGGCAAGTATTGAAGCCGAGCGCCACCGTGTAAACTCTACGGTAAGGTCTCTTCAGCAGCAATTGGAGGAGAGCAGAGATGAGGGACATCACTGGAGAGAGCAGTTTCAGTCCAGCAGAGAAGAGCTACGCAACACCAAACAAGAGTGAGTCACACTTACACAAGTTAGTTTAGGTATACAGTTTAATTATTTTTGCATTACGCTTAGTTCTGTCTTTTTTGTTGATGTGTATTTCTCTCCTTTTTCGTGGTATGCATTTTGTTGAGGCAGTGGACAACGGGTTCGACCCAAAGCAGAGTGAGAGACTGTCTCAGATTAGCTAAGATTTATCTGTAGATGTGTGATTGAACCTATTAGTATTTGTAAGTCTGACTTGTCGAAGATCCCACAACTATAATTTTAAACAAATGATTTGATGATTTAATAATAAATTATTGAATGTTTTTTTTTGTTCTTTTTAGTGTAATAAATCACAATTTTAAAACACAAAATCCTTACTGAATCTAAAGGAACTAGTTTTATCATTACTAAACATTACAGAAAATCATGATACCTTCTGTATGACAACTCTAATTACCTCATCACTAGTTCATCATCACAAATACTCTGCATCATTAAGAAATAAAATCCTGCCGCTTGTTATTTTCTTTCAGAAAAGATGCTGCTAATCTTCAAACTTAAATACACCAAACTAATTTTTCCATCTCTGAATGGCCTTTCTGTAACAGAGCAAGATGGTACCATTAATTGAGACAGAGTCCAATAAAAAAATGCACATAAGCAACATTACTTTCACATTATGGATCTTGGATCTTGACACTAAATCAATAGTTTGACCACCCATATTAACATCTTCAGGAAATATTTGGAGTTCAATCGTATTAAAATAAGTTCTCATTTAGGACATTTTAATAGCTGCTATTCACAGCAGACTGTGTGCATATTTGTTATTAAACACTTACGGTTTAGCTGTTTTGTGTTTTGCATATGGTGTTTGTCTGTGTTTGTACTATGTGTGTATATATTTACGTGTGTGTGTTAGGTTACTCCAGGCTCGTATGGAGAAAGAGGAGTTTGAGGAGGAGCTGAAAGATCTGCAGGAGAAAGTCAACACAATGAAACAGCAGATCCCAGATCCCAAACAGACCCAGACAGTCAACCAGGTATATACACGCTCTTTTGCTTATGAATGTTAAATTAATAAAAGTTTTCAAGACTTAAAATACTCTTTGTATTTTTATAGGAACTTGAGCGTTGTCGTGCTGACCTACAGAAGGCCCAGGCAGATATGGATAAATTAAGAACAGATCTTGACAAGAAGACAATGGAAATTGTGTTATTAAAGAAGAGCAAACAGGAGCTTGAAGCAGAGCAGAAATATGAGATTGACAGATTGAGGGACCAGTCATGCAGAGATAAAGAAGAGCTGACTAAAGCTCATGAGAAGGCCAAACAGGTAACATACAGTATTACAGCATCAAAGCAGGTACCATCTGTTAGTTTTTTACTTACGATTTTTATTTACCTCCGGCAGCTAGCAGAACCTTCATTGGTGGAGGCCCTGCACAAGGAGTTGAGTGACATGCAAGAAGAGGTGAGCCGACTGCGCAGTCAGCTGCTCTCAACTGAAGAAGAGCTGCAGGCGGAGAGAGACAAACTCAGCTCTGCTCAAACCCAAGTAAACAATCTGACACATGAGCACAAGGAACTCAAGGAAACCAATGCGCGTATAAAGGAGAGAATCATACGCCTGGAGGTTAGGATGCAGATTAACATAATTATGTAATGATGCACCTTATTTTCCCTATTATTAAACTACAATAAATGTGTGTGTAAGTGCATTGGTTTGAGAGTGTGGGGTGGTTAAGTGCTTTCGGTCAGCTGCATTTTAAAAGATGTGATGGTCTGGACTTTTGGGGGCTCAGGTGGAGGTTGGCAGCACATTACACCAGAGGGGAAAAGAGAGGTTAAAGGTTTTGGAAAGTGACTTATTGCCATCTTATGAAGGAAGAAAAAGATGGCTCTCAGTGAAATTAAAGGATTAGTTCACTTACAGAAAAAATGTACTCACCCCCATGTCATCCAAGATGTTCATGTCTTTCTTTCTTCAGATAAAAAGAAATTAAGGTTTTTGAGGAAAACATTCCAGGATTTTTCTCCATATAGTGGACTTCAATGGGACCCAATGGGTTGAAGGTCCAAAATGCAGCTTCAAAGGGCTCTACATGATCCCAGCCGAGGAATAAGGGTCTTATCTAGTGAAATGATTGGTCATTTTCCTAAAAAAAAAAATATATATATATATATTTTTTT